TGTTTTGGTAGGAAAATAGTGATGTTTTGGACATGCTAAGTTTGACATACCAGTTAGGTAGGCCAGTAGAAATGTCAAGTGGTTGGTTGGTCATGTTTGTCTGAAATTCAGGGGAGAAATTCAATGCCAGAGATATAAATACAGAGTTATAGATAAAAATTAAAACCATATGACTGGATGAGAAAAACTAGGGGAAATTGTAGATAGAGAAGAGAAGGGAGACAAGGACAGAACCCCAGATCTCAGACACTTAACACAATAGAAGTTTATTTCTTACTCATGCTCCACGGCTCAGCTGGGAGGCATCAGGCTCAATGCATTGTAGTTAGTCGGGGATCTAGGCTGGCTGAGCAACTACCATCTTCAGCATTGCCTGTTATCATACCAGAGAGAAGGAGTTATGCACATCATTTCTGCTCTTATCTCATTAGGCAGAAAACATCACCTGAAGGAGCCAGGAAGTATGAACCTGTCATACGTATAGAGTGTGTAGAGCTGGAGATATTTGGCAAACGTGTTTGACTACTACAAAGGGTTTCATTTGCGATGCCCATCATTGTTTCTTTTCTCTCAATTGAAGACTGAGGCAAAGTCATTTGCTCTGAGTAAAAGGGAGTCGTTTGAAGAGAAAGAATTACATAAGATGTTATTTTGCTGAGTGTTAAAGTGATTGTTACTAAAGAAAAGTAATTGTTGAGTGCCCATGTAGGGTTTGTATTCAGAAATGTAAGATGACATTCATTAGCACAATTATGGTTTCATCTCTATCAACCTTTAGCTGCTTAGCTGAAGATTCTGAGTAGGCAGATATTTAGGTTTGACCCGTGTTGAGGTTTGACTACATAAAAATGATGAAGGAAGTGGGGCACAGAAGTTAAAGTCACTTGCGAAAGAGTAATTATAATGATGATGGACCCTGGTTGAAACAGGTGGAGTGACCCAGTTATCCTTAAGTAGTAAGTTCTTCTTTTGTGAAATAAAGAATTGTTCTGTAATATTAATGACCATTTGTCTAATTTGTCAGTAATAGAGGACATTTATTGATTGTCTTCCCAAAATGTCTCCTGTCTCTAGGGATGGTCAGCTCCTTCTTTGGAAATTGCACTCCCACCTCCAGTCACTTGATCCCAATGGGAGTTCTATCTTCTACACATTAGCATTCACAATTGGGTAGACTTCTTAGTTGAGCTTGGTTAATCTCAACTATTCACATCCTGGCCACAGTGACTGGTCCAGCAAAGGCAAGATACCCCAAACCAGGCCTATCAAAAGTCCTTTCCTGAGATCCTTCTACTTGGATGTTAGGTTGGAAGATCTTTCTCCTCACTGGTAATGAGACTAACAGGATGTGAAAACAGTGCTATTCACAGGATAGTTCATTGCCTTGTGGAGAAACAGGTCTGCGAGAACATATTTGACAGAAGAGGTGAAAGGAGGGGCTAACAGATTCTCACCCTCACCAAATCCATGTCCTGCTTGGCCCTGTGGCCACTGTCGCCTCTGCAATTCTCATGCTGTGTTTGTGTGAACCAATAAATTCCCCTTTTTTTGTTTAACTGACTTTGAGTTGCATTTCTTTCCTTTGTAACCAAAGAGTCTAACTAATATGGTTGATACATAAATTTGGATTTTTTTTTAATTTTTAGGTTTTATAAAGAGTGGTACATAATAATTTTAATTATATAGTTAAATTCTAAGTGTATGGTTCTTAATGGTTCATCTTCTGCTCTGTGTCAGCTTTGCTAAAAATAGGGGAAGAGGGAAGTGTGGCAGAAGAAAATTTTTTCTATATTTTTATTCCCCTAAAATTTTTCCTACTTGGAAAAACTCCCACAATTCAAAAAATAGAAATAGGAAGATGTTTATAATGATAGAGGTGGCACATAAAGGTAAAAGATGAGTTGCTTCTGCAAATCATAGAAATAAGAAATAAAATTATCATCTAAGAGTTAAGCTATAAAATTAACATAATAGGGCTCAGAGCAGAACCATGGAAAGCAATTGCAAAGAGACAAAATGATTCTTGGCCTATAAAACTTTTAAAAATACTAATGTTTAAAATTTTTTAAAAATATTTTAAAACATATATAACAGTAGAGAGAAAAATACAATGTGTACCTGTACATTCATGACCCAGAATCAACAGTTACCAAAATTTCACACCCATTTGCTTCATCTAGCCCTCTTCTTTTTTTCCCCACTGCTGAAAAAGTTTAAAGTACATCCTAATGTTATGGCACTATACTGCTACATACCTCAATATGCATCTCTAAAAATTACGGACATTTTCTTACTTATTTAGTGATTAATGTCAGATTACACTCTTAGCAACCCTGAAAAGTAAAGAATTTTATTCCTATTTTTATAGATGAGGAAAGAGGCTGAGAGAATTCTTTCTGTTAGCTACTCCACAGATGTTTATTGATCATAGGAATGTGCTAATTCTAGGACTGTGGGTTCGAGTATGCCCTGATAAGACAAACAAGCCTCCTGTCCTAAAGAGGGGACAGAAAACACACAAACACAAATAAACAATGAAAAGGTAACTACTGGATGTGAAAAGTGGCATTAGAGGATTAAACAGTGTCGTGGGATGGGGTAGAGGACAAGTCTCCTTTAGGTCTTCTTGAGGAAAACGGCACTTGAGATGAGAACTGCAGCGTGAAAATTAACTAGATATTCAGAAGTACGAGGAAAATCATTCCAGGCAGAGAGAACCGCAACTGCAAGGCTGTGAGGTGGGAAAAGGCTTATTAAATAGTGACTGAGGTCCAGAGAGGGGCTCAGAATGCCCAGAGCTCAGTCACGGGGAGGCTGGTAGGAGAGAGGTCAGCGAGGGAGGCAGCATATGCACCCAGAGCCCTCTGTGGACTTGGGAAGAGTTTGTCCCCAAGAAGGGAGCAAGGATTTTATTCTGGGAGAAATAGAAATCTGCTGGAGAAATTTAAACGGGAGGAGTGACAGTGTCTGATTTATACTTTTGAAAGGTCGCTCCAGCAGGGATATGGAGAAGGGGTCAGACTGGGGTACGAGTAGAGCAAGGAGGCTCAGCTGGAGTTGTCTACAGGCGTCTAGAGAAGGGATGTGGAAAGCAGAAGGTAGACCCAGGATGTGCTCCTGAGCTCGGCGGGGCAGTTTGCTGACGGGTTTGATGTGGAGTGGGATGGCCCAAAGCCCCCAGCCTAAGAGGTAGAGCGGGATTTTGAACTTGGGCTGCGCCTCCCAGTGTTCCAGTGAGGGTTAAGAACTTCACTTTGACCTGGATAACCTGGGTTTGATCCCTGCTTCTGCTCCTGACATTGTCTCCTCAACAAAATGAGGTAATACAGAACCTACTTCACGAGGTTGGTGGGAGGAATACATCAGTTGGTATATGATCTTTCACAGTGAACCAATACATTTAGAATTAATGTAATTGGTGATTGGTTGAAGGATACTAATGCTTTCCCTCTGAGAAATGACACTGTATTTAAATAGCTTTTGAGAGAGCAGATCCCTGCACATAGCAGGATGCCCTCACATCAGGTCACCAGCATATCTCATTTATTTATTAGGTTTCTTTACGTGAACCTAGAAAAAAGTATATTTGCTGGCAACTCTGTGGGAAAATGTTGATTTTGGTTAATACTTTACAGAAAGTAGTCTTAAAAACAATACAAAATAAATCTATTATTTTAAATTTAGAAGATAGAAAATATGAAATGCATTTTATTTTCATGTTTCTGGATCTTAGTTCTAAGCTCTAGGTAATTCAGACCAATCTCAAAAATCAGTTGTGTGTTAAAAGTGACTGAATGTTGAATGACTGTTTAAGAGACCAGACGTCATATTCGTGTTAGGCACAAGCCTCAAAACAGACATTAACTCATTTTATACCTTAATGCTGTAGGTCTTTGGCTGTTTCCAAGCAATACGCAGTATTTGGATAAGGGGTGTTGAATTTAGGCAGTTGTTTACATGTTATGTCACATCCTGTCAAACATCCAGATGTCTGTAAGCAAACTGATATCTAAGGGAATTATTCTGTTTTTATTTAAATATTTGGCACCATGTAGTCTCAACCTGGCAGTCTCCCAAAAGACCTGCCTTCTTTCAGAATTTTATACTCCATATTTTGTCGACTTACAACAGCAGTTGATAAGACATGTCAGTCATTCTCTGTGTTCCTGGAGTTACAGAGAGCTCCTGAAAGTGACATTTGTTCTGATGTAATATAAGACTTTCAAACATCTCCAGAGGCCAGTGATAGCTAACATGATTCAATTTATAGTTCCGTCATGTCATGGAGCTACATATTTTTGAGAAGAAAAGGTTTAAAGAATATACTCCACCAAAGTTTGTAAATAAAATCCTAATAGGTGGATGCATTATTTCCCATAAGAGTTGTAGTCACACTAAGTAAATAAAATGATCCTAACTCTACAATCCTTAGATGAAATTAGTTTACCAATTTTAAAGATATTAACATTTTCTCACTGTGGTGTGAGAAGAGGGAGATTGGTGTAGCCACAATTTATCATTTTTTCTAAAAAAGTCTTGAAAATTGTTGTATATAAATCCCTGTGGGCATTAAATTCTTCTCAGTGCTACTTATATACCGAAGAGTCTCAGTGCTACTTATATACCGAAGAGGTTGTGAGGTAGAAACATAAAATGCTTTTTTGCCCGATACCTGTTTCCCAAATGGGTGAAATTAAACCCACTTTTCCCACTAGGAAGTGGCTGCCCCAATGCCACCTTGGCCATAATCCACGTCTTAGAATTCAATGTCAGATATTAGAACACTCATTCCAGTAGGTAAGGTTCAAACTTGTTCTTTCTTTTCTTTTCTTTTTTTTTTTTCAACTTCCAAAGCCCTCCTCCTCCAGGGCACACCAAAACAGTGAGTAATTTACTTCTTTCCATTCCCTTGGGAAAATGAAAAAGGGAGGGAAAATGTTTAAAGACATACCTGGTGAGGGCAGTTTGTATCCCACCGTTTGGTTGGTGGTAACTGCTGTTGGAATTCATTCTCTGTGGGTCCAGTTAGGTGATGTGATGCACCAACCTGTCTTCATGGTGCTGGATCGTTCCCTCCAATTTTCCTGGGCTCTGCGGTCCTTGACAGCTTTGTTCTGATCTTCTGGGGACATCACACTGAGTTCTCACATGTACCAGGTGGTCCTGGCAAGTCTATAGCTGGGAAATATTTACTTTTCTGAGACTAATTCTTAAAACAAAAGGCACTTGGGGATCTAGTCCATATCTTCCAGGAACTAGAAAGGGGATGGCTGGCAGTCCTCCACCACCTCATCTCTCTTGATTGTCTCTTTCACTGCTGCACTAGCCCAGCGGAACTTCCCAAAGTCCACGGTAAGCAGACATCCTATCAGAGAACAAAATGCTGGTCTCCTTTTCTAGCATAAGCCTTCACTCTTTACAACTGCCTCCCTGAAGCCCCACTCCATTTGGCTAAAGGGAGGGAAGCCCTCTCTGAGGGATGAGCAAGAGCCGCTTTTCTTCAGAAACATGGCTGTCCCTAATGCTGGTCTCCCTGTCTGTAGACAGGGGATAGCAGGAGGCGGTTATGTGAGAGATTGATTGGTGGTTGAATCTATTCTCTGACCATCTCGGTAAGCAAAGAGAGGCAACGACTGGCCTAGGCAATGGTCTGAACAGAGAATGTGGGGCTTTAGCAGCAATTCCAGAGCAACGACAGCTCAGATTCCTGTTACCATAGTTAGCTTTACGGTGACTGCTTGGTATGGATCTGGGTTGCTCAAGCCTACATGTGGCATAATATAAGGAATGTGCTTAGGTGGCCCAGAGCATCTGGCTTGCTACATCAAATCCTATTTAGGTCGAGGTGGCACATAAATGATTCAATGCTTTATTTTCACTATGTACTCTTAAATTGATGGAAAAACAACAAAAATTATTATGGCTAACAATAGCGCTATTCTCCCTGTCAGTACTAAGTGATTACATAGAAACCAAAATGCAAATAAGCACAGATACTGCCGCAGAGAGATATAATCATTTTCCTGACCTTTTAACTTTGTTTACAGCATGTACACAATTATTCTAAAAATATCATTTTCTCTTGCATTTGCAGAGCTAAAATTTTGTCCCCCAAAAGAACAATGTGTCATTCTGCTGTTGGTGGACTAGAAAAGCTCTCGCAGCCTCGTCTCTTCTGTGCATCGGTGGATAGATGTGGAGTCAAGGCTCCTTAGTGCAGAGTCCCGCACTTCCTCAGCTGTGTGGGGAGAGCCTGACAATGTGTCAGATGTCAGAAGATAATTTGTCGAAGGAGAACCTGCTTTCTTCTAGCTTAACCTCTTACTGAATTGTTTATCTATGCCAGTGATGTATGTGAATTGACTCAGTCAGAAAAGAAAAGTTTCTATGTAAGTGATTAATTAAAAAACCCAAAACTTTTATTAACAGATAACCAAATTGTTTGAAATAACATTTGCTTACCTGAAAGCTTCGTCTCCCAAAACCTCAAGGTTTTTTTTTTTAGTAGACTTTTAATTTTGGAATAGATTTATAGAAAAATTCCAGAAAAACATGTGAAGATGGTACAGAGAACTCTCATTTACCCCACATCCAGTTTCCCCTATTATTAATGTCTTACGTTAGTATGGTAGATTTGTTATAATTAATTAACCAACATTGAGACATTAATCTTAACTGAAGTTCATATGTTATTCAGATTTACTTAGTTCTTTTTTTCTCTTTTCCTTTTCCTCTTCCAGGATCCCATCCAGGACATAATATTACATTTAGCTGTCATGTCTCTGACATGTCTCCATCACGACTTCTTTGTTTTTGATGATCTTGACAATTTTAAGGAGTACTGATCAGGTGTTTTGTAGAATGGCCCTCAGTTGGGATTTGTCTGATGTTTTTCTCTTGATTAGAATGGAGTTATGCGTTTTGGGAAAGACTGTAAAGGTAAAGTACCATGTTTATCATATATATCAAGGGCACATACCACCCGCATGACTCCTCACTGTAAATGCTAACCTTGAATAATTGCTTGAGGTATATTTGTCAGGTTTCTCCACTGTAAGGTTCCTCTTTTCCCCCCTTTCATTACTATATTCCTTGCAAGTTATTATGCACAGCCCTCACTTAAAGAGTGGGGACTTCTACTTTACCACCTTGAGGGCAGTGTATCTACATGAGTTATTTGGAATTCATTTGCACAGGAGATTTGTTTTTTCTCCATTTTTTAATTCAGTCATTTATTTATATCAGTATGGACTCACGGATATTTATTTTATGATCCGATACTACTTTATTTAGTTGTTCAAGTTGTTCCAGCTTTGACCATTAGGAAGTCTTTCAGCTGACTCCTGTGTCACTTTGACATACCTTCATCACTGTGTCTGTGTTTGTATTTCTTACTTTCTGGCACTACAAGACAATCCTGTCTCATCTTGTATATTCCTTGTCCCAACCCTATGATTAGCCATTTCTCTAAGGAACCCTGGCTCGTTTATTGCAGAGTGGTGTTAGAAATCAAGATCTGAGTGATAGATATGCTCCTTGCTGCTGGGGTTTGTTGCTTCTAGGTCTTTCAAGCTGACAGATCTAGGAAACATATGCGTGTATACTAATCTGTGTATATACATATCTACAAATGTTTCTCTATATATCTATATATAAATATTTCTATATATCTGTATTGTATTAAACTGAAAATGAGTTCATATTGATTTCTTCAACATGATCCATTTTAGCTTCCTCCCATTGCTTATCTGTAACCTCCCACTCCAACAGTGAGAGCCTGGCTCCCGCCATCCACCACCCATTTACTTACTTGCTTAATTCCTATATAAATGCATAGCATTATTAAAAATGTTAATTTGTACCTTAAAAATCTCAAGTTTTAAAAAAGAAAACTATTTCCTTTTGGTGATTCCACAATTGCAGAGTTTGCATTTGACACTGCTGGCATCAGAAAGGACAAGTACCTGGCCATCCCGTGGCCAAGCAGTTAAGTTCATGCATTCCGCTTCCGTGGCCCAGAGTTTCACTGGTTTGGATCCTGGGCATGGACAATGCACCGCTCATCTGGCCATGCTGAGGCGGCATCCCACATGCCACAAGTGGAAGGACCCACAACTAAAAATGTACACAACTGTGTACGAGGGGGTGCTTTGGGGAGAAAAAGGAAAAATAAAATCTTTTAAAAAAAAGAAGGACAAGTACCTCTGTGCTGGGGTAGAGTAGAGCAGCCTTTGGCCATAGTGGGGGAATTGGGGCATTTTCAAATCTCAGGTCATTTTATAAAGAAGGATTTAAGTAGTGAGCAGAGGCAGAGGGATATGCTCTTCCACAACAAATGAGAGTAGGAGTGGGGAGGGAAAGGTGGGCCTGAAGAGCCAAATCATCACAGAAAGAGTGTTTGGAGGAAAATCTCAGCAATGGAGAGGACCGTCAGTATTGTTATACTGCTCAGGATCATCCGGATGCCCTGGTCTCTCCACGTACTCCACTGGGGGAGCTTGCCCAAAGGTCCCCAACAGAAAGCTAGCAGACAAACTTAAAATGCTCGTGGCACAAGTTTATTTGATAAGGTTGAAATACAGCAAAAAGTAAGGGGAAGAGGAGGAAGGAGCACATTACCACACTTAGGGGAGGGTGCCTGCCATGGCTTCAAGAACTTGCACCCTGAATGCAGGGCATGCATACGCTATCTGTCCCTCTACCTCAATAGCCTTTCCGTTCTGGGTGTGGTCATGATGACTGCAGCTGGGGTTCAAGCAAGGGGCTTGTGGACAGAAGGGATCCAGGGTCAATGACACATACTTGCTATAACAGAGAGATGGAACTACAAGTACCCCTGACTAGAGCTGTGGCTTGCCAACTATCCTGATGACCAGCCCCAGTTTCTCCTTTTTTCTTTGGTAGAGGACACACTGGCTGAATGGTGTCACCACTGGGTGGCTCACTTAAGACCTCCTGAATATTGAGTCTTTCAATTTCTTCCTATGTTCACACAAATGCCCTACTTACTTCACTGTGGAATATACCTTATGGATTACTGACTTATTTACATTCTATGCTTAACCCATCTCTTAAGTTTCATCCATCCCATTTTTTTGTGTCTTCTATAGCAGAATTGAATACAAAATACAACCTCACATAGACAAAGAAAATGTAGTTAGATTAGAAGCCACAAGAACAACTAGGTTTCCCTTTCAGGAAATGGGAGCTCAAGTAATATTGGATAGATTAATTGAGAAGTTGGAAATATCAGATATGCTTCCAAATGAGGATATGGTATTTAATTCAAAGACTACATATTGGTCAATTTACTCTGAAGAGCCAGAAGTTTATCCAGAATAATCTTCTATTTTTCTTTCACAAAATTTGCAAAAGACTTCAAAAGGCTTTTCTCTAGGGAGTCCTTTAGAAAGGAGGAGCTGAGTACTGTCAGGTGGATTGCTGGCTCCCTGTTGTAAAGAGGTCTGAGATATTTTACCATCTGTCTTTAAGAGAAATAATTTCACAAGAGCACGACTATCTTGATCCTGAAGATATTCTTGTCAATTGTTACAACTCAACTCCATTTAGTATCTTCCTGACATTTGTGATATAAAAAATGCCAATCTCTTGTATGGTCAAAGTTATGTGGAGGCTTACTAAGATGTTATCAATTCTGCCCCATGGTAGGAGTAGGGCAATAAGAGCTGGCCTTATGAAGGTCATGTTAGAACTAGGTCTTGAAAAATGTGGTAGAACTTTGACAGAGAATATGGAGAATAGCATGCTAAAAAAGGTGGCAGGCTGAGCACAAGAAAGAAAGTCTGGTACATGAAACCAGATGGTTTTGACAAATGCTGCTGCAATGCAGGGAATAAAGTCCAGGTGTTCTATATGGTTAGAAGCCCAGCCTGTCATCTGGGCCCAGTCAGAAGCAGAGGTTCGGGCTGGCCTGGTGGCATAGTGGTTAAGTTCACTCACTCTGCTTTGGCAGACCAGGGTTTGCAGGTTCAGATCCTGGGTGCAGACCTAGCACCACTTGTCAAGGCATGCTGTGGTGGCATCCCACATAAAATAGCGGAAGATTGGCAACAGATGTTAGCTCATGGCCAAGCTTCCTAACACACACACAAAACCCAACAACAAAACAACAGCAACAGCAAAGAAGCAGAGGTTCATATATAGTTTTCTAGATTTTTGTCCCCAAGAGTTCATAACAGTTTGTCCCCCAGACTTCAAAACACTGCAAAGTTATGCTGTTATCCTCAGGTGTGAGAAGAGCATGTGCATATTATCCTTTAAGGTGTGTTGCAAACATCTGTGGGGAAGAGAAACTCTAGAGTTGGATATGGGTAGCCAATGCTACAAACCCAGACCAAAAGGTGTCAAAAATTTGCTGATTGTTAGGGACAGTTCTAGGAGCTTCACACATTCTACTATCTCGTATATTCTTCACAACAACCGCATATCTTACGTATGTACTATTATTTCCATTTTATAGGTGGTGAAACAGAAACCTAGGGAGGATAACTCATTCACCCAAGGTCACATAGCAAGTAGGAAGTGGGGTCTGGATTTAAAGCTCAACTATGATTATATTCTTTTGACCTCATTTAAAAAAATTTTCAAATTATTCCAGAAATGTTCACAGTGTGAAAACCGAGAATGCTCAAAATAGCAATATGGTGCCCGAGGTCCAATAGCTAACAAATAAATGAATGTTGAGCAAGTGAATGACTGAATAACTGAATGAACGAATGCAAGAGGCTCTCATTGAAAGGGAGAGCCTCTTAGCTCTGTACGGCTGGGAGCATTAGAGGACACAGGAGGGAAAAAAGGAAGAAAAACTCTTTATTTTTACATCCCTAGGAGGCTACAGAAAAAGCACCACAAATTTTTTAAAAATCTGTATAAAATCTAATGAGAGACAAATCACCATGAGCTTGGAGATTTTTTGGTTTCAGTTACAAAAAGAAATGTAAATGTATGTCGTCAGAGGCCAGAACCACCTTCAAAGGCCATTGACCATTACATTTGATTTTTCTTTCCCATATTTCGGCTCTCTCTGGAAATCTACTTTTAGTAGTCTACATAGTTTGAAATTATCAATGCCTTTTTCTGTCCTGCAGAGTCTTGGGCCTTTGGGAACACGCATTTTGATGAGGAGGAAGAACTAGCTGTAGCCCTATGCCTTAACTATTTATTTAGTGACTATTCATAACAGAAGTACATTGAAAACATGGTGGATGATATTCCTTACACAAAGACCATTGGGAAGATGACCACACTTAAAGTGGTCCCTAACTGTCAACTCAGGAGTCACATGAACTCACAACTCAGAAACAGTGGGAAGATAATAGGAAGAACATTTATAGTCCTTGCTCTTTGCAGGGGATCAGAATTTGCCATCCCAAAATGTATCTCTTTGGCTTGATTATTTTTAAGAAAAAAAGACTCGGGAAGAAATTTTGACCTTCCTCCTAACTGCCTAAAAGAATTTAAGATAGAAAGCCTGTTCCAGGAAGGAGCCATCACCTTGGATAACTATAATGATAGGCAGGAAGGAAACTAGCAAGGATCATTTAGTCCTCCCCACGTTCACTTGTCTTTGCAAGGTACGGAAAACATTTGTTTATCCAACGTTTGCTTTTCCATCTCTATGTGAATTGCCTTTCTCCTATCTGAAGTCCCAAACCACTACCCCCAACATCCTCCTTTGTCTTTAACTGAAGATGGTATTTAAGGTGGTGGCTTTGACCATCTTAATGAGTTACTCGGTTTTCCTGGGTTTCTTCCATGTGTACATCTCATTAAACTTCAATTTTCTCCTGTTATTCTGTCTCATGTCAACTTAATCCTTAGACCAGCCAGGAGAACCTAGAGGGTTGAGGAATATTTCTTCCTCCCCTACACCTTCTTATAGCCTTTTTCAATATTTGGTGAATATTTTTATATTAATTTTTTTTTCTTGTTTCAGTAAACCTATAAACCTATTAAGTTTAACAGGAATTATATTGATCATATTTAAAAGTTTTTTTTATATTTTATGATGTTTTGATACCTTAAAAATCTTGCTTGCCCTGGAGATACTGCCTCTTCTCAGGCCAGCCAATTCTTAGAAAGAACAAAGTCTCAGCAGGGAGCCCACCTTCCATGTGAAACCAATGTATCCTGAGTCTATACTCCTAGCCACCTCCTTTTTCTAATTCTCACACATCAAGCTAATATTTCCCCTTCTCTAAAGCATCCCAAGACCAGGTACCAGACAACTAGAGACCACCCCTGTAGCCCAAAGCCTGCCAGAATCATTAAAATGAGCCAGTCCTAAACTGTTGACTCTGCCTTGCCTTGTCTTTCCCACAGAGACCCCAGTAAAGGCTCTCACCTAGGCTTTCCCCTGCCTCCTGCTTCTACGCCTATCAGAAATGGGTGCTTCCCTGTGGCCTTGAGTGGCATGGCATGCCACTCTTCTCTTGGGAAAGGTAAATAATAAACTCTTCTTTCAAAGCCATTGACCTCTCCATACTATCTCTCAGTCACTTTCAAAAATTTAATCCCACAGGTACAAATGAGACAGGAATGTGTTTGGAAAGCTGTGATGTGTTTGCATATAGACCTTAGTGGTTTAATATACATGCATAAATATATGAATCAGAGCTTACCCATAGTTTATTTTAAAATTTGGGAGAATTTAGCTACACTGTCAAAGAAGGAAAAAGTGCAAAAAGTACAAGACAGCAATGGGGGTTGAGCCACTGAGGGTCAGCCAGAGTCGTTACTCTGACAAGTCATGCCTCAGCGGGACCCACAGGCTTCAGTGTGGACATTGTGGGCAGCCAGATGCTGGTGCTGTGGACAAGCAGGATCCTTAACAGGGTGCACTGATTGGGGTTGCAGAGTCTACCTTAGGGGAGCATCTGAGTTCTGCTGTCCCCATGGACAGCAGGCCAGCTACATAGAGAACTAACTTACAAACAAATGCTGGCAACATTTGTGACAATGGTGGTTGAGAAGTAGTGAGGATTCTTAGAAAGATTAGGAGATTCTCTCCTGCTGGTGAAACAGACAAGAAGTGGACAGCCACAGTACTTTGGGCATTGAAGGACATATGACCTTAGTTTTAATAAGAGAATAGTAAGGCTGGGAAATTTTGGTTAATAAGGAAAGACCATGCTCTGAGCAATAATCACAAAGTAGAAAGTCCTTAAGGAACAGAGGTAAAATTTCCTTGAGATTAGAAATATCAATTTTATGAATCATCTTGGCTTGAAAGTTACTAAAATGCATTCCTCTTAAGAATAAGGGGATTCTGGGGCTGGCCCAGTGGCATAGTGGTCAAGTTTGCTTGCTCCCCTTCAGCGGCCTGGGGTTCATGGGTTCGGACCACAGGCAAAGACCTTCAAACCACTCATCAGACCATGCCGCGGTGATGTCCCACACACAAAATAGAGGAAGATTGTCAATAGATGTTAGCTTAGGGCCAATCTTCCTCACTGAAAGAAAGAAATAGAGAGAGAAAGAGAGAAAAAGAAAGAAAGAAAGAAAGAGAAAGAAAGAAAGAAAGAAAGAAAAAGAAAAAGAAAGAAAGAGGGGATGCTCCATGCAGAGGAGAATTATTTCTACTCTCTATGAACAGAGCTGAAAAAAAATTAGTCAAAATAAAGTATATCTTTCTGGGAATGGCAGTGTCCCAAACCCCCTCTTGCAAAGCCACATGCAGTGTCCAGACATCATGCATCTGTTCCTGGAAGGTTGTAATATGTAGTGATTTGTGATCATCATAAATGAGTGTGTCCCAAAGTTTGTTCTGTGGAACACTGGGAGTCCAATAAGTTTGGGAAACTTTGTCAGCTATATCTTCTTAAATATTCATAATGCATGAGACCATATTTAATGACTGAGTAATTGAATGATAACGAGCCTCTCATTCTTGTTTAACCAATAATTTCCCGAAATTATTTGATCTCGAAATGCTACTTTTGCATGGTACTTGTCAATAGTTTGTGTAGTTCTGCCTGATATGATGTATTAGAGCACTTTCCTTTGGTATTTGTCAGATCTCTCTCTCTTCTTCTTCTTTTTTTTTTTTTAAAGATTTTATTTTTTTTCTTTTTCTCCCCAAAGCCCCCCGGTACATAGTTGTGTATTCTTCATTGTGGGTTCTTCTAGTTGTGGCATGTGGGACACTGCCTCAGCGTGGTCTGATGAGCAGTGCCATGTCCGCGCCCAGGATTCGAACTAACGAAACACTGGGCCACCTGCAGCGGAGCGCGCGAACTTAACCACTCGGCCTCGGGGCCAGCCCCTCTTCTTTTTTTTTTTGTGAGAAGATTGGCTCTGAGCTAACATCTGTTGCCAATCCTCCTCTTTTTGCTTGAGGAAGATCGTTGCTGAGCTAACACCTGTGGCAATCTTCTTGGTGGAAGATATTGAAGATATTGAGCATAATGTTGAGAACACACAAGAAGGAGGTAAGGTTGAGAATTGGCAATACGAATTATTAAGGGCCAATAGACTATAGGACTCTGTGTTGACATCTGGAATGTAGACTAAATCACTGATCACCTGGTAAGTAGGAGGCAGATAAAACTGAGCGTAGTAATGGGGATAAAGAACGGCATGAGAATAAAGACAGGCCGAAGTGCTGGTGACCAAGAAGAAGACGAAGAAAGTTCAGAAGGAGTGAGGGAACAGAAAAGGCGAAAGAACAAATAACTTTACACAAAGAAGAAAATCTCAGAGCTGGAGATTTTGTAGGTGGAGGAAGTTTAAGTGACAGGCGATTGGCATAACTTATGGGTAGATGAAGTGCAGGGGAGATACAGATTATTGGGGGTGAGGCGGCTGTGACAGTGTGCAAGGAGGGTGTTAAAGAACAACAGCAAGGAGGGTGGCAGAATAGAGCGAAAAGGTGACTGCAAGACAAATGCTGAGGCTATTAAGGAGTAATAATTATGATACATTTTATTTTGAAAAGTGAGTGAGCTTGTTTTCTTAGTGCCCTGCTCATATCCCTCAACCTGACCACTGTGTTCCCAGAAGCTGTAGAAAGGGGCTCTGACCAGGTGAGGACAGGCCAGAATTGCTGGGGAGTATGTCCCCCGGAAACATTCCTCAACCAATAACTTATCTCCCTTGGACCTCGGGTAGGATAACTCTGAGATGTGTATTTTGTACTTTTCCCCAGAATTTCCTGGAAGGCTCAAACCCCAGTCACCCACATGGAGTTTATTTGCTACACTTTATTTGCTACCTTCCCTTCCTGGTGTCACTTCTCTTCTTCGTATCACTTCTTCCTTTCCTTACCAGTGTTTCCAGAACTTTCCAAATAAACTCCTTGCATTTGAATTCTTATCTCAGTCTGCACAGAGGGGGACCCAAACTAATTTACAAACATTTTGTCATTTGGCCTTTAGGATAACTCTAAGAGGATGATAGAATAATATTATTTCCCTTTTAAAGAAGAAAACAGAAGTTGTGCATTTTTCAAAGCCATCCACTTAGTAAGAAGCTGAATTGAGAGATAAACTAGGCTTCTGATTTCAGGATCTGTGTTCTTTTCCTTATATACTGAATCCCTGTATCATGATGTGTTTGTCCAAAGGTTGCTGGATCACAGCAGTGAGGATGGAGATCTGAAAGTATATATGGATGTGTGAATACCAACAGGTAAAGTCATGGGAATATAACAGGGAAACAATGGGCTAAGATAAAAACAGACCTTATGATTATAAGGGAGTAAGATATAATGCAAAAAATTAACCAAAATAAGGGATAGTCCAGGAGCACAGTACTGTTGAAAATCATGTTTAAATTAAGGTGATAAGAGAAAAGAGACCAAAGATAAAGGTAAGATCATTCACTGTGGAAAGTAGACTTGATAGGAGCCAAAGGAACAGGTTGACAGGTGGTCCGTGGGCTCTACAGGGAAGATGTAAGCTGGATCAGAATGCTGGTGTTAATATTCCATCTGCTGTGGCTCCATTGGAAGCTCCCTGGGGCTTTGGTAACGGTGGTGGGTCCCGCTGCCAGAGAGGGCTCCCTCCAGAGTCTCACAGAGAATGTCTGAATTCACATTCAAAAATATCTTTGAAAGACCCGAGTAGGGAGAGGTTTGGAATCTTTTGAGACATGTTCATGGTCATTAATAAGCTAACATTTCAACATTATAGAATTATAGAAAATGGCATCACAGAATTGAAAGGATTACAATAAAGGTTTACAGTAGAGGTTTAATCTTAATTTTTATTATTCTACTCCTTCCTCCTCTTGTATCTGACTTTTCTCACCATCCATATCTATTCATCTAAGAATTCCAATGGCACTTGGCTGTTGGCATTCAGATTATTTAGTTTCTTCTAATGATCTCTTTTGTCGGGTAACGGACACCCAGCCTTCTAACCACACAGAAATCCTGCTGAGCTTTATAAAGTGATGGAGTAGACGTATTCCTGTAAAACATTATTTCCACAAATTACCACTGAAATAATATTTATATTGCCTAAATAAGTCACATTAAGGTAAATTTTCCCCTTCTCTCTTTTATTTTTAAAATGAGATTAAAACAACTGAGATCAGTGAGGATTAACCAGAAGGGCCTCTGTGAAATCAGAAGGCTTAGATTCCTCTCTTCATTTCATCTCTGACTGATTGTGATACCATAAGCAAGCCATATAATAGTCTCATTAGGAGATCCTGTTGAGAAAAGCAGGAGCAGGGAGCCATCTGGTGTTTAAGGTACCTGCTTGTTGGAAAAGTTATGGGGCTAAAAATAATCTCAGTATGATCACTCTTGAAATTAGGCACCTGGGCAAAGAAGCTGGCTATTGACCAATCCAGGAGACTGCTATTTTCCCACCACATGTTAAACAGCCCTGGGAAAACCGCAGCCCTGGTTTATGGATGAGGGTCGGGGATTGACAAGTATGTGTTCCAAAATGATCATAAAGATTGAGGCATGATCAATAATCATCGTGATGCCTCTTAACAGATTTGAACAGTGTATAGAGCCCATGGGGAAAAAGTGAGCCATGCAAATATAAAGAGGGGTGCCAGTTGAAAACGTGATTGGCAACGCCAAATATGGCCAAGGATTTGGAAGATGTATATAATCTCAGACGAATATTAATGATGTAGTGATATACTAATTCTCAATGTACAAGAAGTACAAAAAAATCTTTCAAATTTATTTTTTCCCATTATTTTATTATGAAATTTTCAAATATAGAAAAGTTGAATTTTGTAGTGTAAACCTGTATACTCACAACCTAAATTTTGCCATTAACTTTTTATTATACGTGTTTTATTGCCTATCTATCAATCTATACCACCCTCTATCATCCATCAACTCATCTTATTTTTTGGTGCATTTCAAAGTAAGTTGCAAACATCAGTACACTTCCCCTAAATTCAATATTGTTTACAGTCCCTTTTTTTTTTTTAAGGTAAAGTTTACACACAATGAAATGGACAAATCTTATGTCTACTATTCTGTGAATTTTGACAAATGAAGGCACTTATGAATCCCAAACCTCTGTCAAGATATAGAACATCTCGTTCATGTCAGAAAGTCC